TTTTTATTTGTTTTGACTGCGATATGGAGATCCCGAAAGATCTCCGTCAAAAATATAATTCAAAAGACCGATCCAATAAATTGATAAATTGCTTTATATCATTAGGTAATCCAAATAGCTTACTTTGAGTGTTTATAGGAATTATGTAATCGTTCGTCACGTGATTAGCCTTTCTCATTGTTTATAAATCAATAACTTTGATTTATAATACTAAATAATTGTGATTTGGAATCCGAAATGTACAAACAAGAAAGTTACATATACTAAAAAAAAAAAATGCTTAAAAATATATCATATTTATCCCTGCATGAATGAAGCAATGAAGCAATAGTTTTTGTTGAAACTCAACTTTAAATAAATGATAATATGATTTATGATTTGTTAATTAATTTGAAATATAAATTCAGAATTTTAATTTCTTCTTTTTTAAGAATATCGAAGAAAAAAAAAAAAATCTAACCCTAGAAAACTTTGCCGAAATATTAGGTTCAAACAAGTTTTGTCCTTTGAGACGAAATTTAAGATTTCTTATTTTACGAGACGTGAATGGGGGATTTCCAATTGTGTAATATGAATCAATATCAATTTTTTATTTCGGAATGTTATAATTTTGATGAAATGAAACTTTATTTGCCTCGGCCGAATCTAAAATATTCTAATAAAAAGATTAGCATTTTAACAAATGTGATAATCTCGCATAAATGAGAGACTATGATTTCGAATAATAGATCCTTTGCTGACGTACCCTATTATGACCACGTGAATTTATAAACGTCATTTCTGGATTATGCAAGTTTTATTTATATAAGCCCTTGTCTGTACCATATAATCGAACCATTCACGAGAAGGTGATCCGCCAAGAATCATAAATGGATAAATAATTAATCTTAATAAATTTTGACACAATTTTCAACGGAAACTTTTTTTTCAATTTCATGACTTACCCAATTTAATTGGTACCATATCAAAAATTGACGGATTATGCTTTTACGTAAAATCAATCATATATATATATTATCTGTAATTTGACGATTGCTTATCTAATAAATTCATAGTTTAGTTAATTTTCCTTTTTTTTTTTTCAGAATTATATAAATACTTTTTTTTTTTGTATTAGCTGTCAAAACAAAAAAAAATAATAAGTTTAAAATGATTCAATCAATGTTTAAAAATCTAATTACTCGCAAAAATAAAGCAAAAAACATCTCAAATCTTCCTTTAAACGAAAATGAAATAAATAGAAAACAAATAAAAGCTCAATTATTTAAAGCTATTTGGGGAGGAAACTTTAGCGCACCAGTTGAAAATATGCTAAAATCAGGAATAAGAGTCTTGGAAGTCAGGTAATAAATATTTTTTTTTTAAAAAAAATTTTTTTGTTTTTTACCGAAAGAAGATATTCTAAAACTTGATTTTATGTTATAAACAATAAAATCAGAATCTAATCATCTCTTAATTTTAGATCTGGACCCGGTAGTTGGATTCTTGATTGTTGTTGCGATTATAAGAAATCAGAATTTTTTGGATTAGACATAATGTCAAAAATCCTTCCCAAATCATCACATCATAATCTGCAATTTGTTATATCTGATGTAAGGGAAGGGCTG